TTTTTTTTTTCTTTTTTTGGTTTTTCAAGACAGAGTTTCTCTGTGTAGCTTTGGCTGACCTGGTCTCAAACTCAGAGATCCATCTGCCTCTGCCTCCTGAGTGCTGGGACTAAAGCCCCCGCCCCCAACACTCCATTGGCTATTACAGTTCTTTTGTTGTTTGTTTCTGGTTTTCCGAGACAGGGTTTCCCTGTGTAGCTTTAGAGCCTGTCCTGGAACTAGCTCTGTCGACAATGCTGGCCTTGAACTCAAGAGATCCACCTGCCCCTGCCTCCCAAGTGCTGGGACTACAGATGTGTGCCACCACCACCTGGCAAGTCCCAAAGGATTTTGACACACTGTTCTGGCTTCCTTGGGCATGAGACACACATGTGGTACAGACACACATGTAGGAAAAATATCCATCCACATAAAAAATTTTTATATTATGTGAATTAAGTATTAATTCAAAGCCTGACTGGGAAAATATACCTAGTGCAATCAAATTGAAGATTTTTGGCACCATCTAAGAAAGCTCATGACCCACCCAATGCAGACCCAGTGATTTCAGTCTGTATGCTTGCACACAGCAGTAGGACACATGGATAGAATGTTCAAAGCAGCACTGTATTTTAGCATGAACTGGGGCAGGGAAAGCCAACTAAAAATTTAACAGCACGAACGTGAACAAACTTATGATTTGTTCATGCAACAACAAAAAAAGTGGCCTTGCTAGGCGCCAGCTTTGAGTTCTCAAAAGACTCAAGCCATTTCCAGTTTCCTGATTGAGGTTTGAAATGTGAGCTCTCAGCTGCTGTTCCAGCCTAAGTGCTTCCTGCTTACTGCTATGACCAAATTGTCACCCTCAGTAACTAACTCTAAGCCCAAATTAACCCTCCCTTCTATAAACTGCCTTGGTCGTTGTGTTTTAACAGAGCAACAGAAAATTAGGACATTTCTGCTCTCTGAATTCATATGTACTGAATACTGAATACACAAACACAGCATCCCATTAGAATGAGGTGAGGTATATCTTTTTTTTTTTGTAAACTACTCTAAGTTCCCCTAGGAGAGGGACTTACAAACAAAAACAAAAAACTTCCATCAAGCTTGTCACTAAAAGCTTTACAAGACTCCAGTTAACTCGTACTTACAAAGAAAATACATCATTGTAAACCTAAACTTAGTGATGAGTCAGCCAATTTTTTTTTGAACAATATATATTGTATAGCTGTAAGTTTGTAATCCTCTAAAAATCACCGATTAATTTTTTTTTAGGGAAAAAAGGCCACAGATTTATTAAAGAATGCCACCCAGTGAAGCTAGCACCGATTCTCTGAACTGCATGCACTCTCTGAGGATGTGGTATGTTAGGTCAACAGCATACCTGTGATATAGCCTTCTAATGCTTTTGGAACGAGTGATTTTGCAATTTTCAGGTTTTCCAGAGAACATTTGCCTGACTCCAGACCAAAGGACATACCCATCCGCTTCAGTACTTCTATGTCATCGTGGATCTCAAAGGTGTCATCAAAATTAAAAAGGTATTCAAACCTGCAAAATAAAGCAAGGATGGGAAGGGGTGAGTGAGACGGTTCAGTAGTCAAAGGTGCCAGACACCATCCTGACAACTTGAGTTCCGTTCTCTAGAGCCCTCCCTCCCCTCTCCCTCTCTCTCTTACATAAATTTAATAATTTATTTTTTTTTTAAGAATAAAGGGGGCCAGGTAGTGGTGCATGCTTTTAATCCCAGCACTCGGGAGGCAGAGGCAGGCGATCTCTGAGTTAAAGGCCAGCCGGGTCTACAGAGTGCTTCCCTGGACAAGCCAGGGCTACACAGAGAAACCTTGTCTCAACAAAACAACCCAAAAAAACCCAAACCAAAATTACAAAGAAAGGAAGGAAGTATGGGGGTTTTGGTGCTACGGAGGAACTCTGGAAGGTCTTACACCCTGTGCTGTTTGTTTAGTTTACTTATTGTGGTCTGTAGTAGACTGGCTTATTAGCCTTAAGGAAATATAGTGAATGCTCAATTAATTTTCCTTAGTCAATGGCTAGTCACAATATTCTCAGTCAATCATAAAGACCTTTCCCTGTTTTGAGATGAGGATGTGCCACACTGCAGATTTTGGTCTGAACTCCTGGACTCAATGATCCGTTTAGGTAGTTGGGACTTCAGGCACTTGAACTGAACACACTTGAATTAAATGGAAGACAAGTTTAACAAAGCAAACTCAGCTAAATCCTGTCTTAAAGGGTTAAGAATAAAATGTCTTAAACAAGTGTCACAGTGCTCAGTATGGTGGCTCATGCCTGTAATACCATTACTTGGAAGGCTACAGCAGGAAAATTCCTATGAGTTTAAAGCCATCTTTGGTTTCAAGAGTTCCAGTCCAGCCTGACTACAGAGAGAGAATCTGTCACAAAGGAAAGTACCATATATGAAGTACACAGCACCTATCAGAATGTTGTTGAAAAGTAGTCAGTTTAGATGTCTGTTTAGCTACACAGCACGATCGAGGAGCAAAAAAAGGACCAGCAAGATGCCAAGCTTCGGTCTAAGCTTGATCCCCAGGAAACACTTGCTGGCAGGACAGAACTGACACCATCTGGTGAGGCCTGAGATCTCCATCTATAGGTCTCAGTTCTGTGCTGTTTGTTCTAGTGCAGGTTCTGAATAACAGTGGGTTCTGCCTTGCTATGGAATTCTCTATTAACAGCATGTGAGGTTGAGACGACATCTTAACCTGGGCAAAGCTGGTAACTCAGAGCAAGATGCTGAAGTGAGAGTCTGAATAAAGTAGATTAATGAGCTTACAGCTAACTGCAAGAGGGTCCTTGCCAGAGGAATGATTTCACACACCTTTACATGCAGATGGCTTTGTAAACTAAATTTCATTGTGGGAAAGCCTCCTGGCTAATTAAGATTGCTTCACCAAAGTAACAGACAAGATTACGGACCTACCTCAAACAACAAGCATGTACAAGCTGCTCCATGAAGGGAAGCCAAGCAAGGCGTGAGTCACTGACCACCCAAGGCACAGAACCAAAATAGATCCCAGCCTGGGTGAACAGTGTCGATAAACTGCTAAGGTCAATAATTCCCAATTTTACTGACATTATTTTTCAGTTCTTCAAAAATTATTTACTTCTTGAGACAGGTATCTCTTACGCAGTTCTCCTGGCTGGACAGTGCTGGCCAATGCCTAGCAACCCTTCTGCTCAACCTTGGTTTACAGGCCATGTCCTACATGCTTAGCTGTGAAAGCACTTTACCATGAGAAGAGAATTCTATAGTCCCTCATATAACAGGAGACTAACTGTTTAGAGAGCAATTACAGCATGACACTTCCAGGTCACTTCTGAAGATGTTAACACTCTGAAGATGTCTCGGTGTTATGACATATTGACAGCCCTCTCAGATACAGGTTTCTGTAGTCTGGGATGTGAATAATAACTCTGACATGTAACATTTTACTGGGCTAGCTAGCTGTTGTGTGAATTTATAGTTTTTATAAATTGGCAAAATAACTGATTTTAATTTTTTAGTTCTTGACTTCTTACACATCATTTTAGTGAGTGAGGAGATTAAGGAATAATTTTTTAGAGTTGGATGTCTCCTTCTACCATGTGGGTTTTGAGGGTTAGATCAGGTCATCAGGTTTGCTAGCAAGCATCTTTCTCTACTGAGGCATTTTGCTGGCCCTAATTTTTATTTTTGTAGAGGAAGGAATGAGATCTCAGAGAGGCTAAGAAATGTAAAGAATAAAAACTGCTTGTCCCTAAGAACAGCAACTAGCACTTATAACATGCTGCAATGAACCCGATCTTTTAAAAGTATTATCTCATTCATCCTTACAAGGCTGTAAACAGAGTTCATAAGCAGGCAGGGAGAGGAGCTCCAATCAACAACTGAAACCTGTCTTGTCCTCTATGCACTTCTAACTTCCTCATGAAGGAAAGGTAAGATATAATGAACGTTCTACTTTGAAGAGTGCTACTTCCTATTTGCCAAAGTGAATGGTGTCAAATTTTATTTGTACATATTCACATGGGTGGAGGCCAGACGAGGGCATTGGGTGTCCTCCTCGATCGCACTTCAACTTAGTTTTTGAGACAGTCTCTCACACTGAACCTGAAGCCCACTGTTTGAGCTAGGCTGGCTAAGCAAGCCCTGGCAAACTTCCTGCTCTGTCATCATTACCCTCCCCCACCCCTGCCCCAGCTAGGGTGATAGGTAATCGAGGCACACCCAGGTTATATATGGGTGGGGGATCCAAACTCAGGACTCTTTTAATGTTAATCTTCCATAAACAAAAGTGGCAGGGTTATGGCTCACACCTTTTAATCTCAGCATGTGGGAGGTGGTGGAAGGAAGATGAAATCAATGCTGTCTTTGGCTATATAATAAGTTAGAGGACAGCCTGGACTATGAATCCCCTTCTTAAAAAGCCAAATAAAAACCAAATAGAAGCATACTTGAGTATGATATAATAAATGAGACAATTGCTTTAATGCCACATACTGGTCTGATATATTTCCATAATAAACTATTACAGTGACTCACCAATGATCCAACTTCCTCCTGGGCCCTCATTGATGGGCTAACTTATTGAGTTACTTGCTCAATTACCACACAAGTGTCATGCACATGACAGCCTGGAGCCAGGTACCACCACACATAAGTCACAGGCAAAATTGACATGGAGTAAGGGACTATGAATGGTAAATGATGGAGCTCACTCTTGCTGAGGACACATTTCACATAGTCCATGGAAGCCACCAGTCTTAAAGAGCTGTAGATAGTGGCGTGTACCATCTTTCTTTCTGTGGGAGACCGTTAACAGAAGGCCAGTGTTGGCTTGCAAGAGAAAGATGCCATGTGATAGGGTTCTGGCAGAGGGTTGTTGTTGTTGTTGTTGTTGTTATTATTATTATTATTATAAGGGAAAAGGATCAAAGAAAGGGGAAAAAGAAGGGGAGAGACCAGCCTCCAGAGACAGGAGCAGCAAGAGAGAAGAGAGAGGAAAGAGGGGGAGAGAGGGAGACAGAGGAGAGAAGGGAGGATGGAGGTGACAGGGGAAGGGGAAGGGGAAGGGGAAAGGGAAGGGGAAGGGGAAGGGGAAGGGAAAGGGGAAAGGGAAGGGGAAGGGGAAGGGGAAGGGAAAAAGATGAGAGATGAGACGGAGATGAGAAGCTGATCTGGAACTTGACTAACAGGTTACATAGTGAATGTGCACAGGTGGTTCTCTTAGTGGCTGCAGCTGAGGGTGTGTCCTGTCAGAACCTCAAGGATACTACAGCCTGAATACTACAGCCAGCCCTGTACCCCTCCCCTAGTTCCCCACTCACTTGTCACTGGAGATGCTGCAATCTATGACTGTTTTTCTGCTTGTATTAATGATTATAAATGGCAGCTGGATGGTGGAATTCAGAGCAGGAGGGCCCTGGTTTTGTTGCTCATTTTGTCGATTTCTCTGTACCAGGTTTTTAAAAGCAATTTGCTGTAATGTTCAATAAACAAAAGACAGTCATTTAATATGAAAAAGTAATATAGAATTTAAGTGAATTAGCATAATACATTTTAAATATCTATAACAAAATTAGAGTATTTATAAAAGCAGTCCATCTATACTAGCAAATAAAGTTAAACATGATAAAAGATTGCAAAAATTAAGTTCAATAAACACATTTCAAGAGTAAAACACATGTATTTATTTCTTTTCCTTTCTTTTCTTTTCTTTTCTATTCTTTTTTTTTTTCTTTTCTTTTTGAGACAGGGTTTCTCTCTAGGTAGCCTTGATTGCCCTGGAACTCACTATGTAGACTAACTATGCTGTCCTTGAACTCAGGGATCCACATGCCTCTGCCTCCCAACTGCTGGGATTAAAGGTGTGCACCACTATGCCCAGCAAAACACACCATGTCCAGCAAAACACATATTCTGATGATATCTAATTAAGGTAAATGTTGGGGCCTCTGGTTTCCATTTCCCAGAGAAATAGGCTCTCAGAGATATGGGAGAGCCCAGCAGCACAGGCAATAGTTCTCTTCAGGGTGACCTCAAGTAAGTTTACCTCAACTCAACTCATACAGCATCCTCAGAGTTCAGGGTGAAATATATCTCATTTGTTTTATCTAGTCCAGAGATACACAATTCCTTTAAAGCAGAGAATTATTCCTCCAGATGACATCTGGGATACTCATAACAGAAAACAGATGGAAGCAGCACTACCCTGCTGGTTGCAGGCATGCAGGTGCCCAGCTTTTACCACAGTGGTTTCTAAGGTTTGCATAGCTCAGAACCTTCCCACAGAGTACCTCTGGAATCCAGCCCAAGGCTCTCCAACCTGACACTTTCCTGAGAGGAAACTGAGGCTCCAAACAAAGTATAAAATGTAAGATCTGAATTTTATCACTGCTCGTTATAATTATTGCTCAAAAGATAAAGAAAGTGACCTTAATATTAGTCAGGCAAGACAGCTAGTTTAAAAGAAAATTAGGCTGTCTCTTTTTCATATGCTCAGGAAACAATGGTTTACAAAAGTCCCAAATTCATCCTACTTACAAAAAAAAAAAAATCTTAGTAATCTATGTTCAGAATTGTTTCATTTAAAAACTATCTTAAAATGGTTGGGTCCTATCTCCCTAGAAAATAAATACTGTCTCTTAAAATTTATTCTTTAGAAGGAATATCAATTTATTCTAGAATTAGTTGTCCAATTACCAATATCAACAACTATCAAAACTACCACTATTACTACAATTATCAAACCTAAGTTATATTTTTTGTTATTTTTGTTTCCAAAAAACAAAAGTAGGGGGCTGGAAAGATGGCACTGACTGCTCTTCCAGAGGATCCAGGTTCAATTCCCAGAACCCACACGGCAGCTCACAACTGTCTGTAATTCCAGTCCCAGATTATCTAACACCCTAACACAGACATACATGCAGGCAAAAAACCAATGTAAATGAAATAAATAAATACAAACAACTGAAAGTAGTTTATATTTATAAAACTCATTTTCTATCCAGAGACAAATGTGTTGAAATTGGAAATGAGAAAAAGAATGAAGTAGTCAAACATATTTATATAACTTCTCCTCCCTTATAGAACAAGGCTTTGATTGACTGACTTATGGACGAGTGTGGAGGTTGATCTCTAGCTTGCTGTATAGTGAAGGATGTTCTTCAATTCCAGATCCTTTTGCCTCCTGAGTGCTGGGAGTATAGACCTGCCATTATGTCCTGTGAGAACACAGCTTTTTAGACTGTGGGTTGAGATCCCACATGAAACTACATAAATGAATGTGTGAGTTACCAAAAAAAAAAAAAAAGCCAACAGTAAAAGGTTTCTGAATTATGACAAAAAGTTAATGCAAAATCCACCACACCATGAACCAGGTGTTTCAGCCAGTGCTGGCCTGTGTTGTGCCATGTAATATCCCTGAAGCTGGGGTGCACAGAACTTAGTGTGACCACTGTGCACCATTTATGCCATCACACCACGCAACAATCAACAATCATTGTTTTTACTTTACAAAGTTTTCCACTCTTGTAGAAAATATAATCAATTATGGAAAACAAAGACTTGTAATATTTTTCTATCATCATTACTTAGTACATAAACATAAAATTAGTTTATCTTTTTTCATGTTTCAATCTTTTCTTTATTTCCTTTTTTATTTTTTTCTCCATTTTTAAATTTAAATTAGAAACAAGATTGTTTTACATGTCAATCCCAGTTCCCTCTCCCTCCCCTCCGCCCCTGCTCCCCCCCACACTAACACCTTACCTATACCATACCCTTTCTGCTCCCCAGGGAGGGTGAGGCCTTCCATAAGGGGTTATCAGAGTCTATTGTATCCTTTGGGATAGGGTCTAGGCCCTCCTGCGTGTGTCCTGGCTCAGGGAGTATCCCTCTATGTGGAATAGGCTCCTAAAGTCCATTCCTATGCTAGGGATAAGTACTGATCCACTACAAAAAGCCCCATAGATTTCTGAGGCCTCCTCACTGACACCCATGTTCATGGGGTCTAGATCAGTCCCATGCTGGTTTCCCAGATATCAGTCTGGGGAAAATGAGTTTATCTTTGGATTAAATTGTGTTAGAATGCTTAAATTTAAAAATTCTTGCTTGAACTGGACATGATGGTATATGCCTTAAGTCCCAGCACTTAGGAACCAGAGGCAGACAGATCTCTCCCAGTCTGAGGCCAGACTTGTCTACAAAAGTGATTTCTAGGACAGTCAGAAGCTATGTAGAGAGGCCCTGCCTCAAAACAACAAAAAAGTCTTTTTTTTTTTTTTTGTAGATTAATAAATCATTAAATTAGTTTTGTCTTGAGATTAGGACAGAATTTTAATAATTTTTGTTATATCCTAAGCATACTTACTTCTACCACCATGTATGACATATTTGTACAACGTGACAGTCTCAGTACTGACAATTACAAAATTAAAATAAGAACTCTGAAAGATGCAGCTCCCTTTGGGACAGAAATTTTATTCTCTATCAGCATGAAATGGGACTTATCCAGCTTCTGACAGGGAACCTATCTCTGACTCTAGTGGGTAACACTGTAGACCTTTAAGTACAAACTAGATGGGGAGACTATAGGTCAGGCCACAACCACATTACCAGTTAGGATACACCTAAAAGATCCCCCTTAGGGACAAAACAAAAAACAGCAAAACCCCTGGATATTGCAGCTTCTGGGAAAAGATGAGCACCCAAAGGGAGCTGCTGCACTCAAGGTGAGAACCTGGGAGTTGGAGGTGGGGAAAAATATGACAGACAGCTGGACCATCTGAAAGGCTAAACATTCCAAATCAATGCGCTATGACATGGTCTAGATACTACCTGATGGCACTACAACAACAAAACACATTAGCTTTGGAAGTAAATAAGCAGAGGAACACTGTATGGGCTAGGAAGGTAACAAAAAAATATGCCAGATCTTTACCTGAAGGAGAAGTTCTTGTAGTTGGGCACGCTTCTGTTTTATCCTTTCTATTCTCCTCTGCTTCTCTATCTTTAAAAAAACAAAAGTTATAAAAAACAAATCCTTAAATCATTTTTTTAAGATTTAATTTTATTTTATGAGTATTTTACCCACACATGTGTCATGTGTATCTAATGTCTGGTGTCCTTGGAGACCAGAAGAAGGCACTGGATCACCTTGAGTTACAGATGGTTATGAGCCACCATCTGGGTGTCAGGAACAGAACCCTGGTCCTCTGTAGGAGCAGCAAGTGCTCTTACACTGAGACATCTCTCCAGCCCCCCCAAAAATCTTTAAAATGAAGTTACACTTTCATCCATTGTTGTATTTTGAGATTGGGTTTCCCTATGTAGCCCATGCCAGGCTCAGACCCAAGATTCTCTTGCCTCTACCTATTGAGTGCTGGGTATACTGGTGTATGACATCACATCCATCTTGCTTTCTTCTTTGACACATCAGGTAAAACACCTTTCTTGTCTGCTCCAACAAATTATTTCTCATTGGTCCTTATCTACTCTGGTCTACACTCTAGGATCTCCTTTTCAAAGTTCTACTAACAACCACACCCTTTGTATTACTTAAGAGTCACATAACATCTATGTGACACTGCTGTAAGAATAAAGTCTAGGGCTGGAGAGATGGCTCAGCGATGGCCCTGTGTATCTAAGCTAAGAGAGTATCCCACCATGGGAAATAGGTTCCCGAAGTCCCTTTGTGCACTAGGGATACATCCTGGTTCCACTACCAGAAGCCCCATAGACTGCCCAGTGCACCTAGCTGACACCCACGTTCATGGGGCCTGTTTTGGTCCTATGTTGGTTCCCCAGGTGTCAAACTGGGGTACATTAGTTCTCCATTACTCAGGTCAACTGTTTCTGTGGTTTTCCCAGCATGGTCTTGACCCCTTTGTTTGTCATTCCTCCCTCTCTGAAACTGGATGCCAGGAGTTTGGCTCAGTGGTTAGCTGTAGATCACTGCTTCTGCTTCCATCAGCTACTGGATGAAGGCTCTAGGATGACATTTAAGGTAGTTTTTATTCTCATTATAGGAGAAGGGCATTTAAGGTAGCCTCTCCACGATTGCTTAGGTTCCTAGTTGGGCTCATCCTTGTGGATCTCCCTAGTCCAATTCCCTAGTGCCAGATTTCTCTTTAAACCTATAGTGGCTCCCTCTATTGATGTGTCTCTTTTCTTGCTGTCCTCAATTCCTCTCCCCATTCAATCTTCCTGATCCCTCATGTTCTCCTCCCCTCTCCTCTTCTCTCCTCTTCTTTCTTGCATAGCTTCTCCCACCTAACTTCCTTTGGTTGATACAGTCTGTACTATGACCATTGTAGATGATCGCTCCTGACATCTGATGTAAATATATGAGTGGTGATTCCTCCTCATGTCTAACTGAACTCAGAAATTGTGTTTTCTGACACTATAGTGATTAGTGTCAGTCTTGATATGAGATACAATAAAGTTTTATTACAGCACAGTGGGCAGAGGGTTTTTTTCATATAAAAGAGATATCACATTTTCTGGTCAATATTTCTTACACTGTCCTGTGTTCATGTTTTCATAACCCTTAATAATATAAAGCATTTTTCTTCTGGCTTTACTTTCATTTCCCTTCCTCACATGGTGACTTGCAAAAATGCTTGGCATTTGGCTGATGCTTAATAACAATTTTTGAAAGACTAAAAATTAAAACTTTTTAACATTGTGCATAAACCATTCAAATAGCATGGCTCCTAATCTAGCAAATACATTTGACATTTCACCAGTTCAGATAGGAAACATGCTCATCCTAGAATTATTTACCCTAAAACATTCTGCCCTTCCCAAGTGAAAAAAACGAGCCCTTTTATATTGTGATAAATGGCCACTAAGAAGTGTCACAGAACACCATAATTTATTCAGTTAGATATGTGGAGGAATTGGGATTCATTTTTTCAGAGTTTGAACTGTGCTACAAGAAAAGATGAGAAACATAGCTTTGACATAGAGATAACAATGTCTCCATGTGAATTGCTACAAAATACAGAAGATAGAATATTAGTATTCAAATAATAAAACCATAATCTATACTTGTCTTTATTTTTGTAAATATGTTAGAAAATAGGCAACAATATTTATTTTTAAATTCGGAAATTTTGAAAATGATAGTGAGAATAAAATAATCACTAGCCATTTTTAAACTATAATCATTCTTACTAGTAAAAGAAAAAAAACTTGCTTCAAATTTTAACATCTTATTTGTCATGAACGAATTCTGATGTTACCATATTTCCCGAGTCTTTTCTCCTGACTTGGAACTAGAAATACAAATATTTCCTGCTGAATAAAATACACTTCTATCTCTTGTGACAGTTTCCAGGTTTTTTGGTTTGTGTCCTGTGCTGGTAGTACAGACAGATACAGAAGTGTATCCAACTGACACTAACCCTAACTCTATCCCTGACCTAACCATAACCCTAATGAAACTCTAATCCTACCCATACCCCTAACCCTAACTCTCACCCTAAACCTACCCCTAACCCTAACCCTAAGCAACTTTGCTGTCTTCCTTGGGGTTCCTGGCAACTACTGTGCTAAGAAGAGGATGGAAAAGTTGTGGTGTCTTCTCTGTGACATGCACCTCCTAAAGCATCATTTACCCCACAAATGTCTTGGATCCCAAGTCATTCATTTTTCCTCATGAGTTTTAGCTTTAGTTGCCAGTTCCTATTAAAATCTTGTCAGTAATTAATATTGAAATTCCAGCAAGTCTATAGGATAATAGGGAAGGCATTTCAAATGAACAATATTTAACTTTTAGTCCATGATAAATTTATTTCAATCCTTTAGCTGAGATCTAATATAGGGTGTGGTTCTGCTGATTACTTTAAACTTACTTAATTATGGTATTAAAATTTTAAAACTCTCTAATAATGTAAATTTTTTTCCATTCATTTATTTAGCTTATAAATAAAGTCATGCACAATTATGATACATAATACAGTATGTTCACAATGGCATGGCTAAATTAAACCAATTAACATGTTATATCACACATATTCATCATTTTTGTTTTGACTTAAAGTATACTATCTCACAACTTTTAAAGTATAGCATATTGTTATCAACCATATTTATCATGCTCTCAGTAGACCTCAAGACATCACAGAGTCCATGCCTCTTGTCCAACTGCAGTTTTATATCCTTAAACCAATCATTTCCCCATTGTTAAAAGACCCACATTGAAGCCTAATAGCCACAATTCTGCTCTCTGCTCCCATAAGTTCATCATTTCTAGGTTACACATAAAATAGAAATTGTGTGACATCTGTCTTCCAGTGATGACACTGATTCTTAATCCTCCTACTTGTAAGTGCTGGGATTACAGGGATGAGCCATCATCACCTCCATGCTCAGACTACTCACTGACATTGTGTCACTCCGTTTCATGATTTGTAAAATAAACTGCAAATTGTATCTCTAAAACTCTTCCAATGCAAAATTCTCCACAGACTCTTAATGATAGCATGCATGAACAATTTTAGTATTACATGATTATATTTCTAAATGAAAATGTCTTGCAAACAAACAAAAAACTTATCCAACACCACTTTTAACTTACCTCCAGGTTTTGACATTCCTGAGCAGAATTGGTAGGCAAGCCAATCCACTTGATTTCTTTTTTTTCCTTTGAAATTATGTTCATTGCCATCAGCACATTTAAAGCATCATAAACTCTTCGTCTAATGTTCTTCTGATCATAAGCCTGCTAAAAATATTCTTATGAAGTGTTGAATTTTAAGGGTTATCCTTCACATGCTTCTGGTGTTGATGACAGTATGTCCCAATTGCTGAAAAAATTCTATGCCCAGTGAAAACATCTTTAGAATTCAGTATGTAACAAAGACACATGTAAACATTTCAATTATTATTATTATTATTTTTAACTTGGGTGTGTGTTCTTGCCACAGTGTCCATGTGGAGCTCAGAGAGCCACTTGTGGAAGCCCAATCTCTTCTTCCACCAAGTGAATCCTGCAAATGACTCTTGTCATCAGGTTTAGCAACAATGTGCCTTTGTTGGCTGAGCTATTTTACTAGCTCTGAATACATTCTTTGTTTGTTTGTTTTTTATTTTCTAGGTGGTTCTGAGGATTGAACCCAAAGCCTCATGTGTGCTAAGCAAGTGTTCTTCTCACTGAGTTTCACTACCTCCACCTCTGAAGACACTTTAAACAAAATAAGCTCAGAAACAAATATAACTAACACCAGACTGACACTGAAAAATACTAAGGGACTTCTTTGGGTGGGAGAAAGATTATTTAAAATGGAAGCTTGGAGATGTAGAAAATATAAATATACTGGTAGATCTCAGCTGTATAAAAGCAGTTACCTTATGGAATCCAGAATATATAAAAATTAATATCCATGACAAATGTATACATAGAGAGGTAAAGTATTAAAAGTGCCTGCATCATTAGGTGGTTCCTGGGGTGCCTCGCATAGGATTAAAGCTGATAAAGTAAAACCTCTGGTCAGACTATTGTGCAGGAAGTTAAGATGTTTGAGAGTAGCTGGTATGTCTTGTATACTGTTCAGGATTGCAATGAATCTGGCTCAATATAAATTGTAAACTTAAAACATTTTTCATTTGCTTTATTTTGTTTTTGATTCCAAGTGTATGCCAGGCTAGCCTGGAACTCATTGAGTAGCTGAAGATGACTTTGAACTTCTGATTCTCCTCCTTGTTCCTCCAGTTCTAAGATTATGTACATGCACCACCATACAGTGCTGATCTAACTAGAGTTTAGAGAAGAATGAAAAAGCACAGGACAACCATTAAGAATTTTTGTAGTTGCAGCACCTTTAATCTCAGCACTTGGGAGGCAGAGGCAGGTGGATATATGTGAGGTTAAGTCCAGCCTGATATGCAAAGCAAGTTCCAGGTCAGCCGGGGCTGTTACACAGAGAAACTATGTCTTGAAAACCTTAAAAAAGAAAGAGAGAAAGAAAGAAAGAAAGGAAGGAAGGAAGGAAGGAAGGAAGGAAAAGAATATTCTTTTTTTTTTTTTTTTCTTGAGACAGGGTTTCTCTGTGTAGCTTTGGAGCCTATCCTGGCACTCGCTCCGGAGACCAGGCTGGCCTTCAACTCACAGAGATCTGCCTGCCTCTGCCTCCCTAGTGCTGGGATTAAAGGTGTGTACAACCAACGTCCAGCTAGGAAAACTTTTATACTTTAAAAACATCAAGAGTGGGTAAAGTCTTACAATGCAAGCATGAAAACCTACATCTGAATCCCCATCACCCACAAAAGAGCCAAGTGCAGCAGGCATGCATCTGTAACCCCAGTTCAAGGGCGGTGAAGACACGTGGATCCTGGGTGCTCACTGGCCTCCTAGCTAGTCAGTCAATCACTAAGCTTCAGGTTCAGTGAGAAACCCAGGCTCCAGGTGAGTATGCCAGGAATGGTACCATACATCTTTAATCCCTGAATAGGGGAGGCTGAAGCAAGTGGTTCTCTGTGACTTCCAGGCCAGTCAGAGAGGCAAACTGAGACCCTGTCTATAAATAAAAACATAAACAAACATAATAAAAATAAGGTGATGACTGGCAGATACTTGATGTTAACCCATGCATCAGCTTCCACACACACACACAACACAAACAGCCAATATACACATACACATACATATCAAAGATGCATGTTTCAAGGTCTATGTAAATCTGTGCTTCTGACAATGTGGTTCATGGAATAGTGCTGACTAGCTGTTTTTACACTATAATGAGAACAGGAACTTGTCCCAATATATTTCTGTACTCTCAGGACACCAATTGGTTCAGCTAATCTTTTCCTTTCTTTTGTTAATAAGACTTTTATTGGATGAATACATTTATATTTATTTGTATCATGAGGTTTTTATCTTATTGTAGATAGGAAGTTCTGGTTTTTGTTTTTTGCTTTTCTGGTTTTTCAAGATAGGGTTTCTCTATGTAGCTCTGGCTTCCTGGAACTTAACTCTATAGACCAGGCTGGCCTCCTCTCAGAGATCCACTGGCTTTGCCTGGTAATAGGAAGTTCTTTTTTTTTTTTTTTTTTTTTTTGAGACAGGGTTTTTTTGTGGTTTTGAAGGCTGTCCTGGAACTAGCTCCTGTAGACCAGGCTGGTCTTGAACTCACAGAGATCCGCCTACCTCTGCCTCTGCCTCCCGAGTGCTGGGATAGAAGGCATGCGCCACCAATGCCTGGCGGAAGTTCTTAAAGACAAAACTGAGTCAATTAAATGTCATGATAATGAGGGCTAGTGGGGAAACACTGAACCCTCTAAATAAACAGAAAATGGAAATTATGGAACTGGATGTAAATATTGTATTCTTGACATTGTGGACTACGTCTAAGATCAATTTCTGGGTGAAATCTTAGTATTCTGAACTTTTCAATTTTGTTTTTTTGACATGGGGGGGGGTTCACTATGTAGCCTAGATTAACCTTGTACTCAAAATTGCAGATTTTCTCTTGCTTCAATCTTCTAAGTGCACTAAAATTTGCAAGGTTCCAAAGTTATTGAGGGGCTAGAAACATGGACCAGTTGAGTAAAGCATGTCCCAGATGAGCCTGACGACCTGAGTTCAGTCTCCAGAAACCAGGTGAAGGTGGACGGAAGGAACTGACTCCCTAACATTGTCCACTGACCTCTGCATATACGTCATGGCATGGATGTGCACAGACACATCATACATGCAAACATAAAACAATAAAAAACTTCAAAATATATATCTGTTCAAATAAAAAAGAAGAGAATATCTCCAAAACAAACCAAAAATTTACAATACAAACTTCCTTAACATGAAATAGGAAACTCTCAATTAAAGGACTCCCTAGCTTCCTCGATTCCTTAGATCTATCACACAGACTCATAGGTAAACTGGATCATCATGTATCCATATAAAATTTATGATCCACCTACCGAATCAGCTGCTAGATGGTTACTTGAATTGGTGAACTCTGATACCAGCTCATCAGCTACTTCGTTATATGATGTTGTGCCTTTCCGCTGAACTTTCTCACACACTTTCATTGAAAAATGTCTCAAGCCTTTCCCATTTTTATCACCTTTTTTGCTTCGTTTGCTAGGAAAGAAAAAAGATTTATGAAAAAATTCATATTCTATTACACTATGCAAAAAATAAAACTAGAAGATACTCATTTAGTTTCTATGTTTTAGTTAGTTTCAAATGAAGAAAATTTAAATTGAATAGGGAAAATGTTTTTAAATTTAAGTTTTATTTTAAGAGCTCAACAATATACATAGTGCTTTTCTATAATGTCATTCATTTAGTAAGCAAGTATTGACAAATTACTGTTATACGCCAGTCATCATTAGACCCTAGAAATAAATTTGTGAAAAGTTACAATAACTCTGCCTTTTAGAGATTATATCTTGGCTAATATTTATCTTTTCTTTGGCATTAAAACTATCAGTCTCGGGTTGGAGAGATGGCTCAGAGGTTAAGAGCACTGACTGCTCTTCCAGAGGTCCTGAGTTCAATTCCCAGCAACCACATACATGGTGGCTCACAACCATCTATTGTGAGATCTGGCGCCCTCTTCTGGTGTACAGATATACATGGAAGCAGAATGTTGTATACATAATAAATAAATACATAAAATCTTAAAAACAAAACTATTAGTCTCAGTTCTTAGCCATTAAGACTTGAGGGGTCAATTCAGTTCTAATAATTTGTGAGCATCAAATATATGTATAACTGTTTTAGGGACCAGAAGTATAAAAATTCAGGTAAAATTCTTTTCCTGAATGAGTCTTACAGCATGATGAAACACATACATACTGGTGGACAATTCCAAAGGTGAAAGTGCCAGGCCAGTTACTCACAGTGATCTGTGGGAAGTGGGAAGATGGACAGCTATTTTAACCTACAGGGAGATGACTTGTGGGGATAGTCATCAACAATATGTAAAGGTCAAAGGAAAGAAGTGAGGACAGCTTTAGTCAGTAGAAGCAGCAGCAAATACAAGATGGAGAAAACAGGTAATACATATAAAAGAGTAAGAACAAGCAGGGTGGGGCCACCCAATGTCGACTGCAAGGTGAGCAATGTCAAGCATGAGAAAGAACATGCTGTGCTTTAAACACAAAGCAATCAAATTTTGACTTCACCTCATCACATTGTTGTTTATCAGCATAATTTAACTTATTAATAAATTATTTACATGTACTATGCTATGTAGCAAAACAAAACAAAAAACCCACTAGACATGCTGTTTTCAAAAGAATGAGATAAGAAAATACCCACTTTCTTTTCCCTACATTCCTGTGATGGTTGTCAACTTGACTACATCTAGACTCAACTAAAACCGAAGCTGCTAGATTTCTTTATTTTTTATTTCTTGAGACAGGTATCTCTGGCTAGCCTGGAACTCACTACATAGACAAGGCTAGCCTCAACCTCATGGAGACACAGCTGCACCTGCCTCCAGATAGTCTTAATCAGGTATCTAAGAGCGAGAAGATCCACCTTAAAGCTTGGCTACACCTTCTAGTGGCAGCCCAGGTTAAAAAAGGTCATAGAAGAAAACTTTGCTTTTCGCCTGCTTGCCCTTGCTCTCACTAGTGCAAGTTCATTTATCCCATAGGTATTCCTTCAACAGTATTAGAATCTAACTCCTTCAGGATTTCAACATACACCAAAGACCAATAGCTCTCCAGGAATCCTCCAAGACTCCAGCACCAGATTGGAAACGCTGAGACATCTATCTTAATAACTATCAGCCTCTTGGATTTTTCCACTGTGAAAACAGCCATTGGTGTAATATCCAGACCACACCCTGTAAACCAGTCTAAATTGCCATTGGAGTCAATGTATGTGTGTGTTGGGGGGGGGTGTGTTTCATTCTACTAGTAGTTCTGTTCCCTCAGAGAACCCTGATGCAATTAGGAAAGACTCATAAATGCATCCCCAGAGTACAGGCACTGTAGTATCGAAAATCAGTGAAACTACTAAGTGATTTGAGTTGGGTGAGAAACTGATGTAGGCAGAAATTACCATGTTAAAAGCTGAAGGTGAATATTATGGAGAAAGGAGATGAAAGAAAAACCAGCTAAGAAGCTATTGCAACAGCTGAGGTCAATGGTAAAGAAGAGGAACAGACAAGAATTGCAAATATTGAAAGGCAAAAAAAGTAGTTGAACTAAGCATCTGATTCATATGGACAGACAGAAACAAAGAAACAGCAAAATCTAAATTGAGTGTTCTATTTAAACATATATGTTCAGTGGCACACAATAAATACATATAATTTTTTTTTTAATGTTAGGACCTAGAGAGATGCCTCAGCAGTTAAAAACACAACTGCTCTCATAGAAGACCACAGTTTGGTTTCCAGCATCCACATCAGGCAGCTCACAACCACCCGCAACTCCAGATCCAGGAGAATCTGGTCTCCAAGGGCACCTGAATGTATGTCAAACACCCATACACACACACACCCCCTCTCTAGTAATCTTAAAACAAAACCAAAAACTTCTATAACTGCCAACCATGGTGATGCATGCCTGTAATACTAGTATTTAGAAGGCTTAAAAAATAAAATAAACAACAAAACATAACTCCCCTAAAATTAATTTCATTAAGTAGGAAGTGTGTGTGTGTGTGACTACAGAGTTGGCTCAGTAGTTAAGAGGCCTTGTTGCTCTTGTACAGGACCTGGTTTGGTTTCTAGCATCCACAGTAGATCTGTTATCTTCTCACTTTTTGGGTCACTGAACGAATATGGCACATACATATATATGCAGGCAAAACATGCATATGCATAAAATAAATCTGAGAAGTACTTTTTAAGAAGTATATTCTCAAATATATATGAGAATTCCTGCTCAGCACATACTTAAAACACTGGTATGTCAGGGTTTATCTATGTTTAGTTTTACAGATATTGCCAACTTCCAAAAATTATTGTGATCATTTACATTGCCATCAGTAGCACAGGAGCGTTCCAGGTGCCTCAATCCTATAAAAGTCAAGAGATTTTTTTTTTTTCCCTGCCTGGTGGTTATTTAATAGATATAGAGCAGCACTGTTCACTTGATTTTTAATGTTTTTAATGACTAATGCTAATGAGTACTTTTAAGTAAGTTTATTAACTATTTGTATTTGCTGCTGATTCTATTATTTTATCTTTTCAGTTGAGAACAGGGTCTCATATTAGCCCATGCTGACTTGTAATTTCCTATGGAGTGGAGGATGCCGTAAAAACCATCGGCAAGTCTTTATTAACAGAATAATTCTCATCTTATAGAGGTCAATGGACTCTGAAATGACAACTCTCATTTTAATATAGCATAATACTAATGGTACCTAGAATAGTGGCTTGCATGACATTTTGAACTTAGGCTCATATAATGGCTCTAAACCAATAGATCCTTCTTTTTTCCCCTAGTGCTGGGAATGGAACCTAGGACTAATGAATGTTAACACAAGTAAGTGCTCTACCACTGAGCTATATTCCTAAGCTTCCAAACTGACAGTCTTTAACGTCAGAGGTAACTGACTGGAGAGTTACTATGCCAATATTCTAAAAAAAAGATAATCTCATAACCCAAACGGTGTCTAAAGAAACAAGAATTTGCCAGGCAGTGATAACTTATGCCTTTAATCCCAGCAATTGGGAGGTAGAGGCAGGTGGATCTCTGTGAGTTCAAGGGCAGCCTAGTCTACAGAGCAAGTTCCATCCAGGAAAGGCTCCAAAGCTACACAGAGAAACCCTGTTTCAAAAACCAAAACCAAAAATAAACAAATGAAAAAAAGAAACAAGCATTTACTATGATCTAGAACTATTTAAGAAAAAAACTTGTTTAAAAGTTTGGGCATGTTTGGATACTATGGAGTATTTACTTTGGAAGAACATTTTCTTTCCCAAGAGGAGGAAGAGGCCTGAATGACCAATATCACAGGATATCTATTGGAACTGTGTAAATAAGTGAATTGGAAACCTCAGTGCAGAATGAAATAATGGTGGCAACTAAATCAAGTTAAATTTGTGCAAAGGACTCCCCCCCCTCATAGTGGAATATGAAACAAAATACACTTATACTCACCTTTCTGAAAAATCAGAGTCTATAAATTCTCTAGCTCGTTTTCTATCACTAAAAAGACAAAAAGATAGCTTAAGCATAAAACACAACTATTTCTTAAATAATTCATTATAATTTGTCTCATTCTACACTGAATGTGCACATAAGAAAACAGTTTACCATGGGATAAAGGCATGATAATATAATAATCCTTAAATTGGAATAAGCACAATGAAAATATGGGTAGGAAAACAGTACAGATTTACAAATGAATTTGTACAGAACTCTTTTGTCTTTATGGTGTATGGATATATGTCTGTCCATCTGTATATGGTATAAAGCACTTGACAGAGCTGTTACTTCATTAACTTACTTATCCGGGCGGAGGGAGACAGGGGGGCGCGGGGGCTGGGGAGGCGGGCCGGGAACTTGCTCTTGTAGAGCAGGCTGGTCTCAAATTCACAGAGATCTACCTGCCTCTGCCTCGCAAGTGCTGGGGCTAAAGGCATGCCCTACCACCACCACCTGGTGAGCAAGGTCATTCTTTTTTTTTTTTTTTAAAGATTTATTTATTTATTATGTACACAGTTTTCTGTATGCATGTATCCCTGCAGGCCAGTAGAGGGCATCAGATCTCATAACGGATGGTTGTGAGCCACCATGTGGTTGCTGGGAATTGAACTCAGGACCTCTGGAAGAGCAGACAGTGCTCTTAACCTCTGAGTCATCTCTCCAGCCCGAGCAAGGTCATTCTTAATAAAGATTTACTAAATGTTTGCTCAAATTCATATAGTAGTATGTTACTAGATATAAAACTCCTCAAGTAATAAACCTTCAAAAGTGAGAAAATAAGGTTTAGAGAATTATTTTAATATTTTTCTCTCTTCCTTCTAATTTCTATTTATGTGTGTGTATGTATGTATGTATGTATGTATGTATGTATGTATGTATGTGTATATGCCACCCATATATGTGGGTGCCCACAGAGGTCAGAAGATGTCAGATGTCTTGGAGCTGGAGTTAACAGGTAGTCCTGAGCCACTTGATGTGGGTACTGGGAACCAAACTTTGTTCCTTTGTAAGAAGAAGTGTTTTTACCCACTGGTTGTACTCACTGGACATGGTGGCACTGGCTATGGGCAACTCCACGAGGAGTCAAGCCTGGCTATATATAGAGCCCAAGCATAATTGATTTTAAAACAATGTAATAGTTTTTAAAGATCCAAACTAGCTGGGTATGGTGGCAAATAATTGTAACCTCAGTATTCAAGAGGTTGAGGCAAAAGGATCACCAAGAATTCAAGGCCAAGCAGGTAAATATCAAGTATCAGGTTAGCCAGGGTTATACCCCAAGACTCTGTCTCAAACAACAGTAGTAAAACCCACCAAACTCACAGCAACTGTAACCAGCACTCAGAAGGTAGACACAGTCAGATTAGGAGTCAGGATGAGTGAGCCATCCTAAACTGCATGAAACCCCCCAAAAACAAAAGAAATAAAGTCCTGCCCTACCCCACCCCACTCCCAAGCCTCAAAATAACTAGATTAACAAAACAGGAAGCGAATTCAAGGGCTGGGGAGATGGCCATACAAGCCCAAGGACAAACCCCAGCTAGTACTGAGTTAACCTGCCTGTAATTCCAGTATTCCCTCAGGAGGCCAAGTTAGGAGATTACTGGGGTAAACTGACGAGGTAGACTAGCCAAATCAGCAAGATATGGGTTCAACAAGAGACCTCCTCAGAAAATAAAATGGAATGATCAAGGTAGACACCTGTTGTTAACCTATTGCCTCTATATGTATATATGCATACACAAGCATGCTCACAAAATAATACACCCATAAAAACGTGAACATGTACCACACACACACACACACACACACACACACACACACACACACACACACACACACACACACACACACACGCACATGTATTGGAGAGACAGAGCTGTGGTTAAGAGCACACACAGCTACTTTTTCAGAGGACCAGGGTTCCTTGGTTTACTGCATCTACCTTGGGTGGATCACAAAAGCCTATAACTCCAGCTCCAGGAGCCAATGTTCTTTTCTGGATTCAACAGGCAGCTGCACTCATGTTCACATGGCACACCACCTTACATACACATATATGCATAATTAAAAATAAAATATATTTGGGCTGGTGAGATGACTTAGTGGGCCACAGGCACCTGTTAGCAAGCCCGACAAACTGAGTTTGCTCTCTAGGACTTAAGCAGTGAAAAGAGGACTGACTCCACATATGCTATACAGTATGTATGTGTGTGCACATTTGCAAAATGATTAAATGTAAATTTTAAAAAGGGGACATAGGAAGACAAGGACAAGACAGCAGGACAGTAAGGGGTGGGAAACTTAGAAACAGTAATTTCTGACCCTCTTACCTGGGAACCCAGCCAGCAGCCTCAGCTATGTGTGTCTGAGTGACCATTGCTGGTGCAGGGGGATATGGACTCCCAATCAGAACACTTCCTGAATTGGTAATTCTCTGTGGTGTGCTTATAATCTGTAGAGTTGGTAACAAGAAAATACAATTAAGTATTCACACCTTTAATCCCAGCACTACACAGGCAGAGGCAGGCAGACCTCTGTGAGCTTCAGGCTAGCCTAATCTACATAGTGAGTTCTAGGACATCCAGGGCTACATAGTAAGACCCTGCTCAAATAAATAAGTATTTTTAAAGGGAAATGTTTAAATTATTACTTTAAAAAAATGTAAGGGAAGGTAGAGATGATAGAGCAGTTAAGAGCACTGGCTGCTCTTCCAGCGGACCTAGGTTTGATTCCCAGCACCCACATGGCAGCTCATAATTGCCTGTGATTCCAGTTCCTGGAGACCCAATGCCCTCTTCTGGTCTCTGCGGGCACGAGGAGCACACATGGTGCATAGACACATTCTCAGTTACAAGATTCATACACAGCTGGGCCGTGATGGTGAATGCCTTTAATCGTAGCACTCAGGAGGCAGAGGCAGGTGGATCTCTGTGAGTTAGAGGCCAGCCTGTCTACAGAAAGAGTTCCAGGACAGGTTCCAAAGCTACACAGAGAAACCCTTTCTTGAAAAACCAAAAGACTCATACAACAAATAAATAAATAAATAAATAAATAAATAAATAAATAAATAGGATGTTGCTGGCTAACACATGAGAAGGAAGTGCTGTCTAAACAACTCAATGTCAATCATCTAAACTCTTAGTAGTACCTCTGATTTATTCATATCCTAGCATCTTAAAACACCAGTATTCTGTAACTTAAGCTCTGAGGGAATTAGGAAATGGAAAGATTGTTAGGGCTTACTAGATTCCAGTCTAGCTGAAGGTATGCAAACCCCAAATTCAGGGAGAGACCTCACCTCCTATGAATAAGCAGAGAGAATATAGGAAAATAACTAATTAGTGTTTCCAACCTTTAAGCACATGTGTGTAACACACTCATACACAAATAAACCATTAATCCTAGCACTTGGGAGGCAGAGTTAGGAGGTCTTAAAAAGTCTGAGGCCAACAAGGGCTTCCAAATGAGACACTGTCTTAAAACAAACAAAGCCCCCAACCACTACTCCTGAGAAAAAAAGGAAACAAAAGCTTTATTTGAAATTAAGTATAGAAACTGTAGTAGAACCTGATTTATGTGGCCCAAGATAGCAGTGAGTCTGATCTTCAGAACACAATATACATCCGAAACCATTATATAACCTGATTGTTACAGGATGCATGAACTGAGTTCACTGAAAAAGCCACACCCACATTCTGTGGACTGATTTGAACTTCAAAATCTCATGATAGTAGAGAGTCAGAATGTTGCAGACAAAGAGCCAAAACGATATTGAAATCTTTAGTCCCTCTAACAGTCACGTATCATCAGCCTCTGTCTGTATCTGGTCAAACATCCCTTTTGAAATATATCAACTTGGCAGACCTCTAGTTGTCACTAAGCCAAAAGCTAAGAATATCAAGCAGCATCTGAGACCTTCAGCAGTTTTTCTTGTTTTGTTGTAACCTGTGTAGTTGATGTCCCCAAGAATGAATGTATTTACTGAAGACTATTTTAGTTCTGTGACTACAAAAAAAAAAAAAACATGTAAACACTTCCACAGGGGAACATGTCATTTGGAACAACTTAAATCTGTGTTCTCAGGTCATGGGCCACTCTTATTTGTATCAAAATAAACTCATTTCCTTTGGGGTGAGAGTTATGTTTTGCATGGATAAATGTAATTCTATCTTCATTTTTCCCTCTCCCAACTTTACCCTGTACTATTATATAAAGCATCTGGTCAAGCATAGTGGCACATACCTATCATCCCAGTACTTGAGAGGTAGATACAAGAGGATTACCACAAATTGAAGGTCAGCCTGGTATACCTACATAGTAAGTCAAATCTATTCTGGGTTACACAGTGAGATCCTGTATCAAAAAACTAAATGTATACATGCATACATATATAAAATGGAGCAAGGGTGTTGCTCTACATAAGCAAGCTCAACTTAGGTAGAGAGCTTTGCCTAGCATGCATGAAGTTTTGGGTTTGATCCCTACTGGTCCCCAGGACCACATGAGCTGGATGTGATGGTCCATGCCTATTGGAAAGGGGTAGCTGGGGGATGAGAAATTCAAAATCACTCTCGGCTACAAAGTAAGCTTGAAGACAGCCCAGGCCAACATGAGATCATAAAACTTGTACCATGTGGATTTAATATCCTCCATTAGTAGATGTTTACGAATTTTCAATGATTTAGTTATAGATAACTGTTCAATTATAAATAGTTAGCCATTTCTGCACAATGATCTTGACTTTAATTTCTTTTCCCTTTTGCTTTTTTAATGTTTGTTTTCTCTGAGGCAGGGTCTCTTATAGCCCGTGCTGACCTTGCACTCACCGTGCAGCTGGGGATAACCTTCAACTCCTGATGTTCCTGCTTCTACCTACCAAGTGCTGTCAAGTTACTTACTGTTCACCTCTGTCTGACCTAAATTCCTTACAACTATAAAATTAAAACCTTTAAATGTATTAATTTAGTGTCTCACTAGCATCTACCAGTATCTGAAACCTATGGTAGAATTCTCCCTGCTGCTTGAAGTTCCTATCCATGTATCTGACTATAAAAGTTCATAAAACTTGTTCATGATGAACATGTAATTCAGGGATAATACAAATCATGTTCCTGCACCACGCTCACTCATATTATCCTCAAAATAAAACTCTTATTTCCTTTTTGGTAACAGCTGTGCTTTGTGTCAAAACATATAACTTAAAACTACATTTTAGAGCCGGGCGATGGTGGTGCACGCTTTTAATTCCAGCACGCAGGAGGCAGAGGCAGGCAGATCTCTGTGAATTCGAAACCAGTCTGGTCTACAAAAGCTAGTTCCAGGACAGCCTCCAAAGCCACAGAGAAACCCTGTCTCAAAAAAACAAACAAACAAACAAACAAACAAACAAACTACATTTTAGGACTTACCATTTTCACTGGTAAAAGAACATTTCTTTTTTTTTTTTTTTAAGCAAAAGATGAAATAATACAAAACATTTGAAATAATACAAAACATTTGTTACTAGGTAATAAAAAGCTTTTTTTTTTTTGTCTTTGCATAGATTCTTGTTTTATTTATTTGTCTGGTTTTATTTTTGAGACAGGGCTTCTCTGTGTAGTCCCAGCTGTCTTGGAACCTGCTCTGTAGACCGGGGTGGCCTCTGCCTCCTGAGTGCTGGGATTAAAGGTGTGCACTGCCACCACCTGGATTTTTATTATTATTATTATTATTATTATTATTATTATTATTATTATTATTATTAAACATATGTGTTGGTTTTAATGAGCTGTCTGTTGTAATCGTGGGCACTTGAATACTTGGGGTTGTCTGGGAGAGAGGTTTAGGAGATGTGGCATTGCTGGAAGAAGTATATTAGTAAGAGTGGGCTTTGAGAATTTAAAGATTCCAGTTACCCCAGTTCATTTTCTGCTTTAGGCTTGTGGTTCAAGATGTGAGCTCTCAGCTTGCCACTCTGGCTACTAGTGCTTCTCCATCATAATTCCAAATAAACTCTTTCTCTATAAGCTGCTTTTATAGAAATGTAACTAATACAATTAAAAAAAAATTAGTGCGTGGTGCCTATGTGGAGGTTAGACAACTTGTGGAAATCTTTTCTTTCCTTCTACCATGTGGGTCCCAGGCATTGAATTCAGACTATCAAGTTTGGTGACAGATGCTGGGTCATTTCATGAGAGCTGAAAAGAATCGAAAAAAAAAAATAAAAAAAATATATATATATCACCTATCATCTCAGACTAAGGAGGTACAGTCAGAAAAATTCTCCACATGTTCAAGGCCAACATTTGTGTACATAGCAGTTGTCTAACCAGCCAGGGCTACAGTGAGACCCTGCCTCAAAAAAACATGCTCCAGTGAGTGATTATTGGAAGAAGACTGGCCCCTCTTTGGATAATGAATGCAGCAGCTACTGAGCATGCAAGAATTCTACTCTCATAAAAACTTGAAAACTTCCATACTAGTAACGTTTTGGTGAATCCTCAAGAGAAAAAACCATCTGTACAGACTGTCTGTAAAAGAAGCAATTTTATTTGTCTTCTAAAAGCTGAAATGCTAATCTGCATTTGTCTCCATGCTCAAAATCTGGCCCCTCATTTACTAAATATTTAAGAATCTTGGTTATCGTTTCTGGTTGCATTACACTAATTTGAGTATAGGGAAATGTTAGTACATACAGATGCTTGGCAAGTAATTTTATCAAGCTGATTCTATAATTATAAAATAAGAGACCGTAATCTGACAGATGTTTGAAAACTTCCATCTGAAAATAAAAACAGCATTAGGAAGTTATTAAGAGCTGGATACAAGTATGGTGGCACACACCTGTAAGGTGGAGTCAAGAGGATCAGGGTTTCAGACTACCCTGGACTATAGGATACCTTGTCTTAAAAGAAACAACAGGGTAGTGAGATGGTTCAGCCAGTAGAGACACTTGCACCAACCCTAAAGACAGAACTAAGTGAGTTTAATACCTGGAACCCACCTGGTAGAATTCCTGGAATTCTCTGATCTTCACATGTACACACTGACACAAGTGGACAGACATGTATACATGTGAAAATAAGTGTAAACATACTTCTAACATTCAGCTAAGAGAAGGAAAGGGCACCTTAAATCTTAGAATCAAGTATTCCTCAGACCCAAAAATCTTTAATTTAATATTGTCTGTCATTTCTAGGACAACTGATTAGTTAGGCCAGGAAAATTAATAGTAACCAAACACCCTTACAAAAACTGGCTTCCCTCAAAAACATATCTGTAGTACTACTGCCATCTACAGTTAGAAAAGCTGAGAGCGTATTGATTCTGAAAAAGAACTTTCCTAATTATCAAGCATTGTATTCAATTAATCTGACATTTTTTGTTTTCACTATGTAGTTTCTGTTCTTCTGAAATAAGATAGCCATGAGATAGATCATCATAATATACATATGAATATTACTAAGAGATATA